GCGTGAGGCTGCTTGGGGGGGATGATTCCCTGGACCATCTCCCCTGGGCTTGGCCCTCAGCCCCAGGTGTGGCTGCAGGGAACAGTTGTGCAATGGAATAACTGCTTTTTGAGCAATGTACAATCCTGTTTGTATCTTGTGCAAAAGGCTTCCGGAAAACACAACGCAACAGCAGAGGAAAAAGGTACAAACATCAACACGTGCCCAGCCCAACTCCCCACCCCCATCCTCCCCAAGTGTTTAAATGTCAGTGTCCCCCAGCTTGTCACACTCTTATCTCTCAGGGAGACGGCAGCATGAAGTCTGTAGCCGCCCTCCTCCTGGTGGGGATGCTCATCCTCTGGACAGAGCTGCCGACAGGTAGGAGATGTCCTAGGGTAAGGTAGAAGGAGGAAAAGCACTGGGGCTGGGAAGGAGCCACGTTTGCAGGGATCCTGTGGGATGGGAGGGCAGAGGAGTGGGGTGTTTGCTGGGGAGCATCTCCCCAGGGCTCCTCAGGTGGTGGCAGCCTGGAGGAAAGCGCTCCATCCTCTTGCAGGCAGCGCCTGGTCCTGCCCGCCCGTCCACATCACCTGTGCCATTCCCAACCCTCCGAACCAGTGCTACACCGACCAGCAGTGCCCGCGGTACAAGAAGTGCTGCCCGTCCTCCTGCGGGAGGAGATGCCTCTCACGCCGTCCTGCTCTCCCCATCTCCTACGGTAGGGTCTGGGACCCCCCCTCCTGCGCCCACCTCCCTGCGTAGCAGAGCGGGGATACGGTGACGGTGGCCCCGGGCAGGGAGCTGTGTGCAGCTGCCAGAGCCCTCCAGTGTCAGGCCAGTGGGGTGACTGATGGCCAAATGGGTGGGCTGGGGTTGCTCTGAGCACCAGACCCAAGCTGATGCTTTCTCTCCCTTTCTCCAGTGTGAGTACCTGCTCCCGGGACAGACCGAGGGCCGTCTCAGCATCCCTGTGCCCCCTCGGCACCAGCCAGCTGCACACACCTCTGCTAAGGCTTGTCCTGCCTGATGCCGGCTCCTGGCAGGATGGGGATGGCCACCAGCCCACCGTCAGAGACCACCTCGGCTCCAGGAGCACCCCGCTGAGGGCTGCCTGCACACCCCCTCCCTCTGCTGCCCCACTGCTCTGTTGACAAATAAAAGAACTTCTCCCAGGGATGCTCATGGTGTGCAACTCCTTTCCCCACCTCCTCCTGCCTCTCTCCAGGCTCATCCTGGCACGTGTTCCCACTGCTGCTTTCACCCCCAAATTCCTGCCTGCGGGAGAGGAGGAAAAGCGTGCGGCTGCACACCCCGAGGGTGGTTAGGGGCTGGCTTGGGGGAGCAAATCCAGCCAGAGGCATACAAACCCCGGGAGGATGGGCAATGGGAAGGGGCTGGAGTGAAACATGACGGGATGGTTTAGGGGATGCTCCTGGCAGGCTGCGAGGGTCCCTGGAGAGCAGCGTGTCCCCCAGGCACAGCCCGAGACAGGCAGGGCTGTGGGCAGGGGACAGACCCTGCCTGCCCATGGGATGCAGGAGGCAGAGCGTCCCTGTGGGTACCCGACTTGGGGCAGGGCTGGGGGTTACATAGACCTAAACCCCAAGTGGTGCTGAGCCCCTCACTGCTCACCAAACCTGAGGCAGTGGGGAAAAAATCAGCTGAAGCGATTGGCCTGGGAAAGCATCGCGGAGGGTC